CAATCCTGATGCCATGCTCTTCTTCATATAGTGCAGCTTCTTGGATTATTTGTTCAGCATACAGATTGAGTAAGTATGGTGAAAGGATATGACCCTGACACACTCCCTTCCTGATTTTAAACCATGTAGTATCCTCTTATTCTATTTGAATGACAGCCTCCTGGTCTATGTACAGGTTCCTCATGAGCACAATTAAGTGTTCTGGAATTTCTATTCTTCTCAATGTTATCCATAATTCGTTATGATCCACAGAATAGAATATTTTTGCATAGTCAATAAAACACAAGCAAACATCTTTCTGGTATTCTTTGCTTTCAGCCAAGATCCATCTGACTGACATCAGCAATGATATCCCTTGTTCTACATCCTCTTCTGAATTTAGCTTGCATTTCTGGAAGTTTTCTGTCAATATACTCCTGCAACTGTTTTTGAATTATCTTCAGCAAGATTTTACTTGAGTGTGATATTAATGATACTGTTCAATAATTTCCACATTCTGTGGGATCACCTTTCTTTGGAATGGGTACAAATACACATCTCTTCCAGTCAGTTGGCCAGGTAGCTGTCTTTGAAATTTCTTGACATAGCCGAGTGAGTGCCTCCACCGCGGCATCCGTTTGCTGAAGCATCTCAGTGGGTATTCCGTCAATTCCTGGAGCCTTGTTTTTAGCCCATTCCTTCAGTGCAGCTTCAGCTTCTTCTTTCAGTACCATTTGTTCTTGATCATATGCCACCTCCTGAAATGGATGAACATTGCCCAATTCTTTTTGGTACAGTTACTCCGTGTATTCCTTCCATCTTCTTTTGACATTTCCTGCATCATTCAATATTTTGCCCATAGAATCTTTCAATATTGCAACCCAAGGCTTGAGTTTTCTCTTCAGTTCCTTCAGCTTGAGAAGTGCCAGCTGTGTACTTCCCTTTTGGTTTTCTAACTCCAGGTCTTTCCACATTTCATTATCATAATTGACTTTGTCTTCTCAAGCTGCTCTTTGAAAACTTCTGTTCAGCTCTCTTATCTTGTCATTTCTTCCATTTGCCTTAGCTACTCTTTGTTCAAGGACAAGTTTCAGTCTCTTCTGACTTCCATTTTGGTCTTTTCTTCCTTTCCTGTCTTTTTAATGACCTTTTGCTTTCTTCACTATCAGTAGGGGTAAGATAATTCACAAGGGAATGTGGCCTGGCAGCTTCTTATACATGAGCTCTCCCTACCTCACTTCCATAAAGATTTACTACCTTGGAAACCCAGTGGGGATCATTATGAGTCAGAATCAACTTGATGGCAGTGGGCCTGAGTCACATGAATGCCAAAGATGGGGTCACCATCCATTGAACCACATGGACTAAGAGTGGGGAGGGGTGCTTCCCCAAAAGGAAACTCAAGGGCAGCTGGCAAAACCAGGAGGACAGGGTCTTGGGAAGCCAAACATGACAGATGGCCAGTACTTGTCCCAAATTCCCATCTTCTCAGGTTCAGTGTCTCACTTCAATGCTTTCCTTTCCATCAGTACGAACTATCATCTTCTTGCCACAGTACTCACTAAAGGTCTGCTGACTGACTGAATGAATCCATGCTATAGCCTTCTGTCTCCTAACTGCAGTTCCTTCACATCTATATCAACAAAATACAAACCAGTTGCTGTTGAGTCAATTCCAACTCATGGTGACTCCAGTGTAGAACTGTGTTCCACAGGCTTTTAATGGCTGATTTTTGGAAGCAGATCACCAGCCTTTCTCCCGAGGCCCCTTGGGGTCAAATTGAACTACCAACCTTTCCATCAGCAGCCAAGCACTTCAACCCTTTGCACCACCAGGGCCCGTTACATTTGTATTAGGATTGGCTAAGATGCTGCGTAACAAATATATCCTCAAATCTTCATGGTTAATTATGTGCAAGTTCATTGCTCACTTGCAAACACTGCAGTGGCTCTGGTTGCCTTCATTCTGTACCTTTGTCCTAACAACATGGAACTCCCAGGGTCACCATGGCAGGGAGTGGAGTGGAGTGGAGGGGCCTTCTGGGGCTCTGGAGTGTGCTTCATGTGCTCACCAAGTCCATTACCACTAGACATGCCTATGTTCTCCCAGAACCTGGGCCTGGGTCACTGCTCTTGGCCACTGAGGGCTCTCTCTCTCACTGGGTGCTGCTTCTGTAACTGCTGCCATCTCTGAATGGGCACCATGTCATGCCAAGCACCAACAAAGGACACCAGTGCCCTGGGAACACCAAAGCTACCCAGGTTATGAAGAGGTGCAGTCAAAGCTTCACTTGGCTGGGGAGCCCCAAAGACATGATGCTAGACCAAAATATCTTACAAAGACTTTTGGGAAAACTGGGCAAGTGATGAAAATGAGCAAAACTGAGTGAAGTGAGTCACATGTAAGGCAATAGAGAATAGTGGGGACTGTGGCAAGCCCACATACACTCACCATCTAAAAGAGGCAGCCACTACCTAGTTTCAGCGAATGCTGCCATGTGGAAATTGGCATCTAGCATTGCCAGGTCCTAGGGACTTTTTTTTTTTTTTTTTTTTTTTAAGAAAACCAGAAAGTCAGAATTTTACATGAAGTTTCCCAAGTTTCAAAATGCTGCTCGGGCTGGATTCAGCCCACAGGCCACGAGTTTGCAACCCCTGCTTTAGTGAGACAACTTTTTCCGTTTTCACTCCCAGTTCTCAGCTCTCCAACTTGGCTCTCTGGCTATCCCCAGAACGTGGAGGTGAGCCAAATGAGGCTGGGCCAGGAGGCAAACCCCTCACACCCACCCCCTTGACCTCAGACTTACCCTCCCCTCTATAGCCAAGGCTTCTCACTGGGTCAGGCAGATGGACTCCATTCCCTCCTGTGGGGCAAGGTCTCTCCCAAGAGGTTCCTTCCAGACTGGCTTCTGGCAGGCCAGCAGCACCCGCCTGCCAGGCAAGCCTGTACTTGTCCGAAGCCCACTGAGACTCAAGCTGTAGAGGCTTTTCCGGCCCTTAAGATAAAGGCCAGACCATCATCATCACCTCCAAGACCCTCCACAGGCAACTGCTGCTGACCCTGTCAGCCCCATGTCCTTGTTCCTCAAGCCGTTCCCTGCTGACCCCTGGTCCCATTCCCCCCTTCCCAGGCTGCTGTCTGCTAACCTCTCCAGCCCCTCTCCTCCCTCCCTGGACCAGTCCCTGCTACTCACCCCTCCAGCCCCACCCCTTCCCCCTGTCCCATTCAACCCTTCAGATAGCAGCTTCCTTCTGCAGAGCCTCCTGCTGTTTTTTGTCTCTAGGAGTTTATATATGTTGTTCCCCAGTATGGCTCTGAAGAAGCCCTAGTGGTGCAGCGATTAAGCACTCAGCTGCTAACCAAAAGGTCAGCAGTTCAAGCCCACCAGCCACTCCAGAAAGATGTGGCAATCTGCTTCTGTGAAGATTACAGCTGTGGAAACTCTCTGGGACAGTTCACTATCCTGTGGGGTTGCTGAGTCGGATTGACTCGACAGCACAGAATAACCACCACCTGACTGTCCTGGCCTTCCATGCAGGTGAGCCAGGTTCAGTTGCCAGGGCATGCACCTCGCACACAGCCACACCGTCCATCTGTCAGTGGGGGCTTGCGGGTTGCTATGACGCTGAACAGGTTTCAGCGGAGCTGCCTAAGAATAGGAAGAAAGTCCTGATGATCAACCCATGAAAGCCCTGTGGAGTACAACACTCCCTGATTCTCTTGTGAATGGATCACACTATGTGAGGGCAATTGACAACAGGCTGTGCCTGAAACGCACCCAAACCCATTTCAGACCAGCCGATTCCAACTCATAATGACCTGGTAAGACAGAGTAAAAAGGACCCATGGGTTTCCAAGACTGTGGTAGCATAGTGCCTAAGGCACTGGACTGCTAACCAGAGGGCTGGCGGTTCAAACCCACCAGCAACTCCTCAGAAGGAAGATGGGGCAATCTACTTCTGTAGTGATACTGCCTCGGAAACCCAAGGAGGGGTCGCTATGAGTGGGGTCCGGCTCGAGGGCACATAACAACAACAATCTTTAGGGAAGCCGAGTGCCACATTTTTGTCCTGTGGAGCAGCTGGTAAGTTCAAACCACTGTCCTTTCAGTTAGCAGCTGAGTGCTTAACCACTGAGCTACCAGGACTCCTCATGCCTGAAACATATCCATCCCCTAACACTCCCACCTGTGTTTAGGTCTCAGCTCAGAAGTCAGTTCTTCCAAGAAGCCCTCCCTGACTGTCCAGGCTAGTTTAGAAACTGAGGCCAGATGCTCCCACAGCCTCCTGGGGTACTTAACTGTCAGTCTTTCTGCAGAAAAGGGGCGAAGGAGCCCAACTCTGGGACAGGGACCAAGACTGCTGGGCTTCCCTTTTATCTAGTATCTAGCACTATGTCCAAGACCATTAAAGGCTTAAATATCTTCTGAAGAAGGAAGGTAAGGTGAAAGGGAGGGAGGGGAGAGAAGGGAAGGAGGAGGAAGGAAACTGGGCCCCCCACTTTATCTGTTTGCATCTTTGTTTCCTTCTGTGTCCTCTCTGTCTCTCTCTAACCAGCTGAACTCTGTCTCGGGCCTTCTCTGGGCTCAGCGGGTGCCTCTCTCTTCATCTGTTTCTGATCATGCGTGGGTCTCCATCCCTGACCCACGTCCCTGAGGAGTGTGTATAGTGTCCCGCTCGGCGGGCTTCCCTCCAAGAACTGGAGCTTCCCAACCTCAGGACGTCAAGGGTCTAGAGCGGTAGCGCCAGATGTTTCTCCGCAACCGGACCCCGGAATTTTCGGGGGGACTGGGAAGCGAGGAGAATGAGCACGAGCGCTCCGATGGTGGATTCAGAGGCCTGGGCAGCCGGCAGCGAGGAAAGGAGGTGGAGAAACTGGAGGGGGAGGGGGAGTGCGGTGGGGGGAGGCGGGAAGGGGCGGACCCGAGCGCACCCCCCCGCCCTCGCCCTGCGCTGCCAGCGCCGTCCCAGCCCAGCCGGCCACATCTGGCGGCCCCCCTCCGTTGTTTCCGCTGCATCCAGACTTCCTCCGGCGGTGGCTGGAGGCTGCGCATCTGGGGCTTTAAACATACAAAAGGATTGGCAAGACCAGCGGGAACAGGCGGTGGCGCGGGCGCCGGACCATGCGCTGCTGAGCCGGGTCGAGCGAAGCCGACCCAGCAGAGCGCGCCCTCGGAGCGCAGCGCTGCGCCGCGGAGCAGGCGCCAGCCAGGCGGCGACGCGGCCACACGCACCGAGCCAGCGACCCCCGGGCGACGCGCGGGGCTCGGGAGCGCAAGGATGGAGGCGCTAGGGGCCCGGGGAACGCTCGCCGGTGTCTTGCGGGTGCTTTGCGTCCTAGGCTGCCTGTTGGGGCGCGCTGCCGCACCGCCGGCGCCCATCATCAAGTTCCCTGGCGACGTCGCCCCCAAAACGGACAAAGAATTGGCTGTGGTGAGTTGCAGTGATGGCCTCAACGAGCCAAGTTTAGACAGACTTTGGAGACAGAGGGTGAGGGGCGGGCAGGGTGGGCATAGAGCGAGAGGAGGGGCTTTGGTCAAGAGCTGGGGGGAGGTTGTCTTTGGCGAACTGATCCTGGAATCTCTTTTGCAACCGGGAGAGGGGGACTTTAGTTAGTGGAGGAGGCCTTTGGTAAACAATGACAACGTTAACAACATCGCCGGGGGCCAGGGGGTGGGCCGAAAGAAGCGGGGAGCGGTGCTTTGGCAAGCTGCTGGGAAGGGCCCCTTTTGCAAATAACGGGGACATTGTCAAGCATCTGGGGCACTTGACAAAGGGGGCGGGATTGGTAAACAACATTTGGACACATCTGGGGACTTGGCTAAGCATCTTGGCAGGCCTTTGGCAAACAGCTAAAGGGGTCTCTTTTACAAACGGGGAGGAGATTTTTAACTCCCTGCGGCACTTTGAGAAAGGGAAACTTTGGCAAACCTGAAATTAGGCGCCCTCGGCCAAGCGGAGCTTGCGGAAGGCTGGGGACCTTTGGAGCACATCTGGAGAGGGGCCTTGAACAACAAACAGCTCCAGGGCACCGTTTGTCAGATCAATGCGGTCGGAGGGAAGCGGGAAACGGGGAGCGCATCTCTTTTGCCTGGCTCGGTAAGCGAGCTGGCCAGCAGGGTCAAGGGTTCGGCCTCTGAGCCTCGGAAAGTTTCCTCGAACTTCTCGGGACTTCTCCGAAGGGTCAGAGGGCAGAAGGAGCGAACTGATGGCGGGAGGGGCAGGCGCAGGAGGGCCCTGGCGCGTGGGGCGGGGGCGGACTAAGCTCGGCTAGGGTCGGAGAGCGGCCAGCGAGCCCTCCCTCCTGGCGGGCCTCCGAGCTGCGGCTCAGATGTTGTTTTGCGAGCGCGCGCGCCTGGCTCGCCCTGCGCCCTGGCTGCATTGTTGCTTAAGCCCAGCTGGGGGCGGGGGCCAGTTGAAGGGCATTGCCGGCTATCCATCATAGGGGCTCCCACTGGGGGCCCCTCAAGGTGTTCCTTCCAGACCGTAGGATGTCTGCCTTTTAATGCCTCAACTACCCTTAGATCCTCTCCCCTTCTTCCAGCCTGGTCCCCATCCGGCCCAGGACAGAATGCTCATGCCCTCCCGCCCCCAGGGAACTCCTCTGGATGTGACACCCCTACCCTTTTCTGGCACTAAACCTCTGTTACCTATGAATAGATGGGTAAAGACCTCCCCACATTCTTAAACAATGTATTGTGTTCCAGTATATTTTGACTCATAGTGACCCCATGTGTTACAGAATAGAACTGCTTTGCAGGGTTTTCTTGGCTCTAATCTTTACAGAAGCTGACCACCAGGGCTTTCTTCCACTGCACTGCTGGGTAGGTTTGAACAGCCAACCTTTAGGATAGTATACAAGTACAAACCATTCATGCCACCCAGGGCCCTTATCAAGGGCCTAGAGCCAGCCCTAGGAATAATGTGCCTGTTGGTTGGGGAAGAGAGTGGAATTTTGAAACAATGACCAATTTGCCTGGGTCCCTCAACCCTCTACAGTATGTGGAAGTCCATGCTACCCAGAGGAGCACAGTGGGTTGCCTAAGAACATGGACTCTTAGACTGTATAACTTCAAATCTGGGAATGCACCAATCAGCCAGCCAGCCTAGTGATCTTGGACAAGTGATTTAACTTTACAAAGTCTAGTTTCTTCATCTGCAAAACTGGATAACAATTCCTCGGGTTAGAGGAAAGGTAATCTTAGGTGCTTAGAAAGGCAACTTGCACGTGCATGAACCTTCCAAAAACCAAACCAAACTCACTGCCTTTGAGTCGGTTCCAACTCATAGTGACCCCTCCTTGGGTTTCTGAGGTGGTGTCCCTACAGAGGTAGATCGTCCAATCTTCCTTCCCAGGAGTGGCTGGTGGGTTTGAACCACCAGCCTTCTGGTTAGCAGTCAAATGCCTTAGTCACTACACCACCGGAGCTCCTCAATGAGCCTTAGCCATTATTTTTACCTCCCTCCCCCTCACCTTGTTATCATAAATGCCATCCTTCAGATGTTGCCCTTTAAGTCTTCCAAGGAGTCTTCCCTAACCAGCCCCCAAACAAGGTTGGGGCCTTAAAGTCCCCTGGCCCTTTCACCATTTCAGTGCAGCACTTACCACATATTTAATTTTACACTTATTTGTGACCCATACTATCCCTCCTGCATAGGATTTGGATCCAAGAGACCAGCAACGTTGCCTGTCTTCTTGTTCAGTTTATCCCCAGCACTAGCACAGGGCTTGGCATATAGCAAAAATATTTTTGGAAGAAATAAATGAGTTGGTTGGTCTCTGAACCTCTGCCAGGGCTTGTCTGGTTTTGGCCTCAGGTTGGGCAGAATCAGCAGCACAGCCCCTGAAGGCCAGGCCCGTTTTCTTTTTTGGAAAAATGGCAGATATTGAATTTGAATCTAGACCCATGCCAGGACCCATGCACACAGCCCTTGAGTCCTCTTGTAAGAAAGAGGAGGAACATAATTCAGATTAAATAAGATGATGGAGGTAAAATAGGATGGTTGAGAATCACTGCTCTGAGCAAGGGCTCTGGAAGCAGATTGCTTGGACCCAATTTCAGCTCAGGTATTTGTGAGCTGTGTTATCTTAGGTATGTTTCTTAACATCTCCGGGCTTTAGTTTCTTCCTTCATATGATGGGGTGGTAATTATATTTACATCATAGAACTGTTGAGAGCATTAAATGAGTTGACACATGCTAACCTCCATGCCTGGTCATACATAGGAAGCACCCAGCATATGGTAGCCATTGGGTCTATAGTTGTTTCGTTACTCAGCTAACATAACAGAGTTGGCTTTGGAACCCAGGCTTTCTAGCTCTTAGGCCCCTGACTATGTCCTGTCTGGGCTGGAGGCTGGTGGCTGCAGCCTGCCATGGTCAATGCTATGCCACCCTAATGTGGCTGCTCACCTCTGGGGTGCTCGTTTCTTCCAGCAATACCTGAACACCTTCTACGGCTGCCCCAAGGAGAGGTGCAACCTGTTTGTGCTGAAGGACAGACTGAAGAAAATGCAGAAGTTCTTTGGACTGCCCCAGACAGGGGAGCTTGACCAGAACACCATTGAGACCATGCGGAAACCACGCTGTGGCAACCCTGACGTGGCCAACTATAACTTCTTCCCCCGCAAGCCCAAGTGGGACAAAAACCAGATCACATACAGGTACCAGGGCAAGGCTGGGGGAGGCAGGGCATCATATCATGCCTGGGGCCAGTGGGCTGAGGGACGTGAAGTGTCCTTGGGCCTTGCCTTCTCTCTACGCTGGGGACCCACGAGGTATCTTGTGTAAAAGCTCAGCATCTTACTGAGTCTACATACAGAGTTGTGAGGAACTGCAATCAGACAGACTTGGCCGTGAGTCCCACTCTTACCAGTTATGGGGCATTGGGTGACCGACTTTTCAATTCTCCGAGCCTTGGCTTTCCAGTCTACAAAATAGTGACTCACGCCTGGTGACCCCATGCAGAATGGAATGGAATACCACCCAGTCCTGTGCCGTCCCATGATTGGTTGCAGATCAGATTGTTGTGATCCACGGGGTTTTCAGTGACTCATTTCGGCAGTAGACTGCTAGGCTTTTCTCCCTATTCTTAGTTCTGTTTAGCATCATGGCAGGCCTCTACTACAGATGGGTGGTGGCTGTGTGAGGTGCGTTGACCAGGAATTGAACCCAGGTCTTCCGCATGGGAGGTGATCATCCTGCATTGTTGTTATTGTTATATGCTCTTGAGTCAGACCTGACTCATTATCGACCCCTCCTTGGGTTTCCTAGGCAGTATCACTACAGAAGTAGATTGCCCAATCTTCCTTCCACATATGTAAAGGGCTTTTCAGAGTGCCTGGCATATACAAGAGTGTAATAAATGTTAGTCATTGTTCTGGTTACCTAGTGCTGCTCTGACAAGAATATATATCACAAATGGGATGCTTTAACAAACAGGAGTTTATTCTTACAGTTTGGAGGCTTTAAGTCTGAGTTCAAAGTGCCTCTGGGTGAAGGCCCCTCAGCCTTGGGGTCCAGCTCTGCCTCCTGCTCCTGGCCCACTGGAGCTAGAGGCATTTCTTCACTCAGATAGCTGCTGGGTACTGAGGCTGACAAATTCAAGGTTGACAAGTAAAAAGGCACAGTCCCAATGTTACCAAACCACATGGCAGGCCATTAATTTAAGTCCGTGGCAAATCCCAAGGTCAGCAGAGCATGGCAGGCTGCTAAACAACAACATGGCTACATGCAGGATCCAAGCATGCCATAGGCTAAAGACGATTCCCAAGGCTTTTCTTTATATACAGGAAGCGGACCACATCCCAAAGGCAGCTACTCAGCTGCTTGTGGTAGATCCCACCATGGAGTTGATTGCCAGTCTCATCATGGGGAATAACTACCAGTAGCCCAGGTACTCAACCAGGCCCAGCCAAGTTGACACACAAACATAACCACTAGTCATTATTATTAGGTGGGGTCTGTAGGGGAAGCAGAGGACATGCAATAATTGGTTGCTTATTGAGTTTTGGGGATTCTTCCAGCCTGAGAGCTCTTCTCTGCGTGGCTGGTGTAGGATCCCAAGGATGAATTTTCTTCCCTGTGTCCCATAATGCACTATGTGAGGCCCCTCCCCCAGGCAGGCAGAAGCAAGGGTTGAGACTCCTAAGAAGCCTGGCTGGTGTGGGGCTCCTGGTAACTCAAGGCATTCTGGGAGGGCTATTCTGGAAGTGAACTCGGCTTGACTTGGACACACTCTACTTGCATACACACTCACATACAAATGCTCATGCATGCTCCACACACATACTTGTGCACACTCTTATTCATGCACATATGCACACACAGGCACATATGCACTCATGCACACATTTGCACACAGACATACACCCAAACCAAAAGCACTCACACCCATGTGCTCATATGCACACTCTTGCACTCTCACACACATGCCTCCCTACTCACACATTTTTGCCCCTCAGGATCATTGGCTACACTCCTGACCTGGACCCTGAGACGGTGGACGATGCCTTTGCTCGAGCCTTCCAAGTCTGGAGTGACGTGACCCCATTGCAGTTTTCTCGCATCCATGATGGAGAGGCGGACATCATGATCAACTTTGGCCGTTGGGGTAGGAGGAAGAGAGGCCAGCAGGGGAAAGCAGACTGCTAGGCCTCTCTCCCTATTCTTAGTCTCCCTATTCTACCTCCTGTGTAGACACAGGAGGGCAAGATGGACATTAGAGGCCTGGGGATACTGAGGACACTTAGAAAGGGAGTGAAAGGTGTAGATACCAAAGGCAGTATAGAGGGGGTAGCACAGAGATTGTGAGTGTAGACATAGAAACAGGGCAGACACTGGAGAGCCACGTATTTGTGAGGGCAGACAATGCAGACATGAAGGTATGCCCTGCAGACAGTGCATACTGAAGTCCAACATGGGAGCCACTCGGCACCTATGTCTGAGTTTAAATTTAAACTAATGAAAATGAAATAAAATTTAAAATTTAAGTCCTCAGTCACATTAGCCATATTTCATGAGGCTAGTGGCTATTGAATTGGACAGCACAAAGAACATGTCTGTCATTGTAGAAAGTCTTATTGGATAACACTGGCAGACACCAAGGAACTAGGTCCATGAGGGTGGGCAATATAGGCATGAGAGTAAGTAGAAGAGAGCCTGGAGTAAAGGTTGATATATGGGTTGGTGGTAGGAGCACATGTAGACATGAAGGTAAGTGGTATAGACACTGAGCAGAACAGAGCGGAGGGTGCGTATGTGCATTGGTGCAGGGAACATTGCAGACATGTGGGTGTGGTATGGAGCTTGGTGCCAAATTAGGATGAGGGTTGTTGTTGTGAAATTGGTGGTAGTATGACATGAAGGTAGGTGATATGGTCAGAAGGCAGTGTAGACATAAAGGTAGATAGCATGAACACTGCAGACAGTGTAGACATGAGTGTGAGTGGTAAGGACACTGGCCTAGCAGTGTAAGTATGTGAGTAGGTAAAGTAGATATTGGTGATAGTGTAGACAGTGAAGGTAGGTGCTATAGATAATGGGGGCCATGTAAACTTAGGAGAGTGTTGTAGACCATAAGACGGTAGCAGTCAAGTTGTCAAATCTCTACTCCCTCCTTGTGTTCCCAATGCTGGGTAACCCCAAGGAGATAGGGAGAGGGGACAGATGCTAGGCAGGCTAAAGAGCTCCAACCATGGTTTGGAGTGTGGATGGGTCTTGGAGACCAGATGGGACATCTAGAAGCTGAGATCACATGTGTGTTGCAGAGCATGGCGATGGGTATCCCTTTGATGGCAAGGACGGACTCCTGGCGCATGCCTTTGCCCCAGGCTCCGGAGTTGGGGGAGACTCTCATTTTGATGATGATGAGCTGTGGACCCTGGGAGAAGGACAAGGTAGGAAATGACTATCTGCATGCCACACTTCCTCTCTAGTCCCTTGCATGCCTCCTTGTCACTTAGCAACAAGGATCATGGCTTCCCTGGCAACCCTGAACATCCCCACCTGCTCTGGGGAAGTCAGAATCCTGGTCTCTGAAGAAGGGCCCAGAGAGGGGCACCCCCCAGGTTCTGTGCTGCTCACCCACTATGTTGCCCCTCAGTGGTCCGTGTGAAGTATGGGAACGCTGATGGGGAGTACTGCAAGTTCCCCTTCCTGTTTGGAGGCAAGGAGTATACCAGCTGCACGGATACGGGCCGTAGTGATGGCTTCCTCTGGTGTTCCACCACCTACAACTTTGACAAGGATGGCAAGTACGGCTTCTGTCCCCATGAAGGTAAGCATTCTGGGATGCCCACGTCAGGCCTCAGCTCCCCAGATCTCCGCAGCCCTCCATACTCTTCAGGCCTGGCACTGCCAGTCTACCCAGTGTTCCCCATCTTCCCTCATTCAGTTACCATCCTTCTGATTAGAGCCATTTCTGTGTGACTCTCTCCTGTGCAAGCATTTGCTTCATACTTTCATTCAGTGAGTCCACTTTTTTTAGGCATCACCATTAGCAATAATATTTTTGCAACCACAGGTTTGATATACTACATTTTTTGTAACATACATTAGAGTGAATGTAACGAAACCCAAATCCATTGCTGTCTACTCAGTTCTGACTCATGGTGACCTTATAGGACAGAGTAAAACTGCCCCATAGCGTTTCCAAGGCTGTAAGTCTTCATGGAAGCAGGCTGCCTCATCTTTCTCCCATGGATTGGTTAGTGAGTTCAAACCACTGACCTTTTGGTTAGCAATTGAGGAGTTAGCAACCACTGTGCCATCAAGACTCCAAGAACTATTAAAATGTTCACTGCTGCTCTCAAGAACCACACTTTATGAATGCTGGCTAGCATATGGGGTTCAAGGGCGAAGAGAAGCTTGGGGATGGATCAAAAGTCTGGTGGTGGGATTGGGATGGACTCAGAGACCAAACCTGGTGCCCAAACTGAGTTGGGGACCCTGATCTGGGGGATTTCAGCCACTTCCCTGGTTCTGATACTGACTGCTAATGTGTGTGTACTTGTTGTACATGTTCATGTGCATGTGTGTGCATGTGCATGTGTGTGCATGACCACGTGCATGCATGTACACATCCACGTGCATGTGTGTACATGTCCATGCGCATGCGTGCGCATGTCCATAGGCATGCGTGCGTGTCTAGGCATAGGAGCTATGGCATCTGCTTCTCTTGGTCTCTTTCTGTTCCTCCAGTCTGTCTAGCTTGTGTCTACATCTCTGTGTCTTGGTAAAAGCAGTAGGCTTGACTCACTAATGTGTGTGTGTGGGTGTGTGTGTGTCAGTGCCCAAGACATAAAGTTTTCAGATCTTTTAGGGCCATGTGAGAGGAAAATTTTTAAAAGGCATGAGGATGTTGACATATACATAAATCCTTTTTTAAAAATATCCTTAATACATTTCCTAATCTTAAATCATAAATCATAAAAAGACAGTGTATATAACTTCATACTCATCAAGTCACCATATTTGATGATTTTAGAGGTAGAAAGCCTAGAAAATTTGGAGAAAATGGGAGAAAATCTTGAAGTTTTCCTAAGTACTTCTTTCTTCCCTACCCTGTAAAGACACTTAATGTAGTATGTATGCCGTATTACTTAGCTAGTGATGCTATAACAAAAAATACCATAAGTGGGTTACTTTAAAGAACATAAATTTATTTTCTCACCGTTCTGGCGGCTAAACTTTCAAATCAGGGTCTTAGCTATATTGACTCCTTCCAGGAACTCCTGCTTCCTTTCTGATGTCTGCTGGCAGGCAGTCTTTGATACTCCTTTGCCTGTAGATGGGTCCTCACAGGGTGTCTGTCTTCACCGTATGTGTATGTCCATGTCTATTTCACTCTTTTTAAAAGACACCACCCAGAAGGGATAGGTTTATGACCCACCCTACTCCCAGTGTAACCTCATTAACAACATATGTTGTTATTGTTGTTATGTGCCGTCGAGTCGGACCCGACTCATAGTGACCTCTCCTTGGGTTTCCAAGACAGACAGTATCACTATGGAAGTAGGATTGCCCAACCTTCCTTCCGAGGAGTGGCTGGTGGGTTTGAACCGCCAGCCTTCTGGTTAGCAGTCAAGTGCCTTAGGCACTGTGTTACCAGAGCTCTCCATTAACAACATAAGAAAGCCCTTATTTCCAAACAGGGTCACATTCCCAGGTATAGGAGTTGAAATTTCAACATGTGTTTTTGGAGGGCACAATGCAGTCCATAACATATGTCATCTTCTTGTTGGGTATACTTTTATATACGTGTCAATCTGTGACCCCATCCTAACTGAACACTAAACACCAACCATTGTCATAGAAGGAAAGAAACAAACAGCTAATTAATTGTGTTACTCTTTACACGTTTATTACCAAAGGTAAGCCTTGTATTATGGAGTCCCTGCGGGTGGAGATGGTTAAGCTCTGGACTGCTAACTGAAAGGTTCGTGGTTCAAACCTACCCAGTGAGGCTTTGGAAGAAAGCCCTAACCATGTGCTTCTGAAAGGTCACAGCCTTGAAAGCCCTGTGGAGAAGTTCTGTGTACACAGGGGTCACCATGAGTCAGAGTTGACTCGACAGCGACTAACAACAACAACAACAAGCCTTGTCTGAGGCAAGAGCTTCAGATCCTGGCCTTTAGCAAGTCAGGATTTTTTTAAAGAAAAATATTTTCCCTATCTTGCATTTCCCAGAAGGGATCTAGGTAGAGTTAACCCTTCCATGAGTCAGCCCTTCAGATTGAAACAGTCTGCCTTGATAACAGAGTGGAAACAGCTGTAATTCGTAAGTTAGGAAGGGTTTGTCCCTGCACTGAACATCAGCTAGCACTGTCTTGGTCTTCAGCCAGACGCTAATGCACACGACATGCACGTGTTTGGGGCTTCTTGTTACTCAGCCCCTCCTGACTGCTGAGTCAGTGTCTGCTTCTTGCCATCCATGTTGGGATGAGCAGACGGGTTTCCTCAGTGGTCAGAACACAGCTGCTGGGAGGCTGGAGGCAGGGGCTGGACTCAGTCAATGTTAACACCTTGCCTTTCCCCATTCCAAGGCCACCAAGGCATCTGGCCCCCATTTTGTCTCTTCCCTTCGTACCATTGTCAACAGGGTGGCGGGAGAGCATAGAAACAGGGGCAGTGAGGGTAGGGGCCGTGAGTCCTGAGGTGAGGGTTAGGGACTAGACTCCATTCTGGCCGAAGTGGAGTTGCTGGGGGCTGGTGAGGTCACCTCTGGCGCTGCTGTGCACAGATGGTCCTTGTTACGCACTTGTGGTTTTGCTCATTGGAGATTCCAGAAACACACCATCTTTTAGGGTAGTACAGGGGTGGGGGCAGGGAGGACCCAAGACAGACAAGTCCAGAGTCTGCATCCAGCCCTCTCCTCGTTGCTCTCCAATCAGGGCTGCTGCCTTGGGGAAGTCAGAGCGGGAGGCTGGAGTGTGTATTGAAGGTTCCCAGAGACCCCTCCCTCACTTCCCTGTCCTCGTGTCTTTCTCTCCCTCCTGCAGGGACCACAGCAGGGTCATCTGGAAAAGGGCTTGGAGTTGGAAGGAGATGAACATTTTGCTGTGTGTATGTGTGTTGTGTGTGTTTAAAAGACAGTGAGTGAGAGAGAGGGATTGAAATCGGTGTGTCTTGCTGTTTCAGTTAAGGTCCCTGGGTGACATACATGGTTTGCACCCGACTACTAATTGAAAGGTTGGCAGTTTAAACCTCCCTGGTGGCAACGCAGAACAAAAGCCGGGAGATCTGCTTTCAGATAGATTCTAACAGGAAAGAAAACCCTTCTGAGCAGTTCTGCTTTGTGACATACGAGGTCACCATGAGTTGGAAATGATGACAAGTTTGGGTTTTTGTTTTCTGTTTTGATAGTTTCAGTTATAAGCCTTATCCAGTTCTACTTAGGTGGCCGTGAGCAGTCAGGGGAGCTTCTGCAAAACCTTGGTTTCCCTATCTATCAATGGAAGACCCTTCCAGTCCTGCTAACCATGGATGATGTATTTAGCGATCCATACAATACGGGCATCCACCAGGCAGAGTAGATAGTGACCTTGGGGCTGAAGCAGGGTCCTGGAGGCCGCCTGCTGTGGGCCATGTGTTAACCATTTCAGTGCTGGAGGTCCAGAAGGTCTTAGGGAAAGGATTGGCCCCTGAGATAGGAGTGTTCCCTGGGAGCTCAGAGGAGCAGCTATTTACCAACCAGTATGAATATAACCAGAGGAGCTCTGGTAGTGGAGTGGTTAAGGCATTGGGCTGCTAGCCAAAGGGTCAGTGGTTCAAACATACCAGCTGCTCCTTGGAGGAAAGATGAGGCAGTCTGCTTCTGTAAAGATTTACAGCCTTGGAAACCCAATAGAATTTGCTATGAGTTGGAATCAATTCGATGGCAGTGAGTTTGTTAATATAACCAAACCTGTTGCTGTCAAGGAGTTGATTCTGACTCCTAGCAACCCCATGTGTTTCAGAGTAGAACTGTACTCCATAGGGTTTTCGGTGACTGTGATTTTTATGGATGCAGATGCCCAGGCCTTTCTGTGTGGCACGGCTGGGTGCATTCAGTCAGCCTTGTGCAAACCATTTGTATCACTCAAGGATGTATCAATTGGTATTACCCAAACCCACGATCATTGAGCCTATTCCGACTCATAGCGGCCCTATAGGACAGAGTAGAGTTCCCCCATAGGGTTTCCAAGGCTGTAAATCTTTATAGAAACAGACTGCCACATCTTTTTCCTGTGGAGTAGCTGGTGAGTTTGAATCACCGACCTTTTGGTAAGCAGCTGAATGCTTGAAACACTATACCACCAGAGCTCCTTTAATTAATATAAAGGATGTTTAGTATCTTAACAACACTCCAGCATTGCTGGAGTGAGCCAGCAGGTTGGCGGCCAGCAACTCTGTGAAGGTGCCCATGAACGTGCCCCGATGACCCCTGGAGTTGGCCTCTCTCTCTGTCTCTCACACACATCCTCCCTCTCTCTCCACCCCAGCCTTGTTCACCATGGGTGGCAATGCCGACGGACAGCCCTGCAAGTTCCCATTCCGCTTCCAGGGCACGTCCTACAACAGCTGCACCACCGAGGGCCGCACCGATGGCTACCGCTGGTGCGGCACCACCGAGGACTACGACCGAGACAAGAAGTATGGCTTCTGTCCCGAGACTGGTGAGTGTGCCCCACACTGTGCCCTCTGAAAGGAAACCTGCAACTGCCCCTCACCCTCCTTCCCCCTGCACAAGGCGCTAATCAGGATATTTAAGCACTGGTTGGCTAGATCGGCATGGATACCGGAATCTGAACAGTGCCAGGCATCATTAGCCAGCATGGCTAAAGTGGAGATGCCTGGGTGTCAGGCCAGCCTGGGTCCCTCGATTCCACGGCTCTTCACTCAGCCTCCAGGCTAATTATCACTCTGGAGTCTGGCTACCTGGGTTTGAATCCCAGCCCTGACACTTCCTAGCAGTCTCTGCTCAACCCTGGTTTGTAAATCCCTTCAAGCTTTAGTTTCCCCATCCATGAAACAGGCTACCATCTATCCTTCTGCATGGAGTTTTCCTGGGGCGGGTGAAATGTGTAAGTGTGACTTGTTAATGTCAGTATCATGTTACTGCTCCCTTGCTGCCACCTGACCCGTGTCCCTATCTCCACAGCCATGTCAACTGTCGGCGGGAACTCCGAAGGTGCCCCCTGCATCTTCCCCTTCACTTTCCTGGGCAAAACACATGAGACCTGCACCAGTGCAGGCCGCAGCGACGGGAAGATGTGGTGTGCCACCACGGGCAGCTATGACGATGACCGCAAGTGGGGCTTCTGCCCAGACCAAGGTGCAGAGACACCTCACCCCCACCCCCTTCCTGGGTAGAGAACCCTTCCTGACTTAGGCCTCACTTAAGCACAGACACCCTTCCCCCAGATCCACCCATCTGGTGAGCTACACCTTGGGTAAGGCCCTGCCCATTCCCGGCAGAGACATTGCTCCCCTTGTGTCCCTGGACGCTGCACACACTGCCCATCCTAGGAGGAGACAGGTTCCCTGCTTCGGCTTCATGCACCTGGGCAGAGACTGCCCCCAAGACAAGCTCCCACTCACCTTCTCAGGACCCTGCACTGTGTGCAAATCAGCCCTCTTAAAGAGATTCTGCTCTTACCCAAGGGTAAGGCTCCCTCCCTCTACCACCCTTCCTTCCAGGCCAAACTGTCTAAATTCTGGACACAGGTTACCCTGCCCCAGAGCAATGATTCTCAAGAGACATTCCCACGCTGAAGGAAGAGACACCTTCCAGGAGCAATATCCTCAACTCCGCCAACATATAGCAGGGACCTTGGGTAGGAGAGAGGGAAGAAGGGGTAGTCTTGGCCTTGCTCCAAGCCCACCTCGGTGGTGAAGAGTCCCACTGCAGGGCCCCCAGAGCCTTCTCCCAGCCCCAGCAGTACTGTCTTCTGCCAAGTCGTGACCAGGAGACAGCCTGTGACTATACTGTGTAGCCTGTGCCATGAGCAGGGAGCTTGGGGCACTGTGCCCTCTCTAGTCTGCAGGGCTCAGGGTCATTCGCTCAGAGCTCCCCAATGGCCCATCATGGTCAGGTGAGAGGGCTGGGCTAGGTCCTCCCAGAATGAGATTGGCCTGCCCTCTGTGTTGCTTTTATTCTTTTTCTTGCAATAAGACAGAACTTGCAGAATGCTAACTGACAGAGGCTGGCCCAGTTTTCTGATTCCCCATTGAGAGCCATACTGGGGCATACCTGGACTTTACCTGTACTGCTCTAGCCTTCCACCTAAGGTGGGATTCTCCATCTGTTTGAACAGCTTGAGGCTCTAGAGCTGGTGATGGGGGTGACGTAGTAGTTTGCCTGCTGCCTGGGGCTGAGCCTGGGCAAACACTGTAAGTGAGAAGAGTCTTTACCATTTTAGGAATGCTGGCCCCAAGGGGCCAGCTTATTGCCACTCTCTTACCTCTTTGGGACTCTGAGGAGTGGCTTTTGTCCCTAGTCTTGATAGAGAAACACAAAAAGCCAGGAAGCTCATTTTTTTTTTATTATTGTAAAAATATATATAACACATTTGCAAATTCAACATTTTTCAGGGGTGCAGCTTAGTGATATCAATTACATGAACCATTACCCTTCACTGATGCCAGATTTCTCATCACCACAAACAGAAAGTCATTGCAGGAAGCTCAGTTTTTAACAAATGGGACTTTAAGTAGGGGAGTCACAGGTGCTACTTGTCCTTCTTCCTTGTAGTGCACATGCAGCCTGCCCTGAAAGGGCCAAGGGGACTTTGGCTGGCCCTGCGTGAGAGCAATAGTCATCAGTAGTCCCACGATGCCCGGGAGGAGGGAAATGCATACGGCCATTCCCAGGGCTCGGCCCCATCATGGCCATGCGCTCAAAGGCTTGCATATCTGGGGCTAGGTCTGGATTCCTCTCTCATCTTTCCCCATCTTTCTACCCCCTTCATTGTGGCCCTCAGGGTACAGCCTGTTCCTCGTGGCAGCCCATGAGTTTGGCCATGCGATGGGGCTGGAGCACTCGGAGGACCCAGGAGCTCTGATGGCCCCCATTTACACCTACACCAAGAACTTCCGCCTGTCTAATGATGACATCAAGGGCATTCAAGACCTCTATGGTAAACCTCAGCTTGGGGGCCTCTGGGTGGGGGATCTAGGAGACCATACAGCCTGGAATAGAGGCCCAGTGCATGGGAACCAGCCCGCCCCCATCAAGCCAGGACTGAAGGAGACCAGGGCAGGAGGCAGCAGTGTTGGCCTGATCGGGGTGAGGAGAGTAAGGAGACTCAGAACAATACTCCAAGGGGCCCCTTGAGTGGCCTCTTACTCCAAACAGCCCTGATAGCCTTGTCCTTCTTGGCTCCCAGAGTCACTCTGTGAGGCAGAGAGAAAAGAAATGGGGTCTCCTTTTACAAGGAGAGTAAACTGGGGCCTGGGAGAGGTGACCTTTCTGACCTAGGGCACACGGGCTTAAGTGACTGAGTTGGGTTTAGAATCCAGGAGAGTTAGCAAAGTGCAGGGTGGAATTTCCCAGCATGCAGAAGGGCCACCCTGGACTATATAGGAGACATGATAATAGGCAGGGAGGGTTTGTCCTTCTCACGGATGCTTTTATTTTAATGAGCAATAGAAACAATAGTGCTAATAACAATAACAACTAGTACCTTGAACCCATGAATTACAGATTATTAATGCTGATAATGGGAGCTCTGGTAGCATAGTGGCTAAGACACTTGACTGCTAACCAGAGGGCTGGCAGTTCAAACCCACGAGCCACTCCTCGGAAGGAAGATGGGACAATCTACTTCCGTAGTGATACTGCTTCGGAAACCCAAGGAGGGGTCGCTATGAGTTGGGTTCGACTTGACGGCACATAAAAACAACAGCAACAACAATGCTGATAATGAGGCGAGAGTTTAAAAGAAAGTTTTGTATATATATATGAGAGCTCTGGTAGCATAGTGGCTAAGGCACTTGACTGCTAACCAGAAGG